TAGTCGTGTTTCTCCTTGATCAAAAACTCTGTACCCTAGAGGTATTTATATCCTACTTTCTCCCTCTCACATTTCCCTGTTTGTTTATTCAGTAAATTAATTCAAAAATGTATTTTGAGCACTTACTATGTGCTAGGTGCTGTTTTCAGAGCTGAGAAAATAAGCAAGACCCTATCACTGTATGGTTCTTATTTTTCTACACACACATGCATGTGCGCGCACGCACACACACACATACACACACACACACACACACACACACACTTGCTTTAGTCATGGCTTTTCAGTAGAAAGCCCCACATAGGTAAAGTCTTATTTTTTGAAACTTCCCTTAACTCCCCCCTTTCTTCTGTTCCTGAAATAATACATGCTGGGTCTTATCTCCTACTAGAGGATAAAATAATCACATAGATTAAGTCCAGCTATGGTATAAATTACTTAATTGGTATTAAGCCACTACTCCCAGATAAACCTACATTTGATAATCAATTTCTTCTATACAATTTCCCTGTATTATAATAGAATATGAGATGTATTTGGCAACCAGGGGAGACTTTCAACTCTCTTTAAGCCACCATACTCTGTAGCCAGCTCTTTCACTGCTTAAATCCATGGAAAACTATTATCTGCAAGGATCTTCCTTGTTCCAACCTAGAAATCACAAAGTTTATAGCTCAACTCTGACTCATCTTATATAGTTTTCCCAAGCTTATATTTCTGCATACATTTGAAGCTATTTTAACATGCCTTTTCTGCACATTTTTCCTTACAGTTTTTCCCTTGTCCTTCTGGTTAGATAACTAATCCATGTACCCAAGTGTGGATATGTAAAATAGAAATTGAAAAAGGGTTTTGTTCTTCGACTCTGCACTGGGACACAAAAACAGAGCATTAACCTAACTAACTCAGCATGAATCCAATCAGAAGAGAAATTGCATTAAAGCAATGCCCCCCACCAACTTTTGAGAGATAATAGACCTTCATTTCATCTTGAGTATGCTTTTCAGATCTGTTCCTGAGAACACGATCACATAGGAAAGTAAGAGTTAAAACCGCAGACCACCTGAGGGAAAATAGAAGTGGAAATACACTAATAAAAGGGAGAAAAGTGCTGCAAGGAGATACTGGGCAGTCAAGCAATTTTCAGTCAACTTGTTATTCCACTCTGCAGAGTAGAAGCCAAAGTGGCCTGCATGGCTGTGCATGATTTGTCCATGTTTCAGTTTCATGTTTCCTCTCTCTCCTCATCTCTACCATTTACTCCGCCACTCCTCACTCTACCATCCTCATCTACTCTGTTCCAGCCAGTGTCCCCATCACTGTTCACTTTGTACTTATTGTTCCTGATGCTAGAGGCACTCTTTCCCATTACAGCCACCCCAGCACTCTATCCTCAATACTTACTTTGTTATTTTCTATAACGTGGATCTCCTCCTGACTTGCTATGTATCTTTCTTATAACTTATTTGTGTATTTTCAACTTTTACTCATACAGTGTAATTTCACGAGAAGAGAGATTTTGTGGGTTTTGTTTTCCACCATATCACCAGCATCTAGAATAGTGACAAGCACAGAGTATATGTGCAATGAATATTTGCTGCGTGAACAAGCAGATTTGTCATGAGCTGACCCTGAGACCATGATTTTGTAAAAATGTTCTTAGTTCAGTGATTTTCTGTTCTGGTGCTACCAGATAGGAACTTTTTTGTGTCACATGGACAGGGCATTGGCCAACACTGAGTCACATTGTTAAATATATATATATATATTGTCTTTCCATTCCCTCTAATTACATCAGAGATGAGATTCTTTGGAGATTAAAATTTCAGGAACATTTACTAATTTCCTTTTTGATTAAAAAAAGGTCAAGTTGCAGGCTTAGATTTTGGTAGGCAGCTGAATCTGGCTGAAAGTTAGTAACAGTTTTTGTTTTCATTTTTTAAAATTTACTTTCTATTGTCAAGTAATATAGTGACATAATTTCTTTCTTTAAAATTTTATTTATAAAAAAGAGGAAAAATTGATAAAGGAGGGAGGAAGAATGTTTTAAGGGAACACCAGTTTAGGTGGTACAAAGATGCTGCAAAAAATTGTATAGCAATTATTAGTGTTTCCAAAACAAAAACAGAAACACGGGTCCTATCCCTGGGGAGGCACAGGAGGCATAGCCTTTGAATATGAATCAGTACTATCAAAAGCAGCACAGAATCCCCCTTGTACACACAGTGTGAGTGTACTTCCTCCAATATGTATACTCTGGAATAGCCCCTGAGTAACAACCACCTGCTGTGAAGCTTACAGGAAGACATATTTCAAAGGAGTCAAAATTCTTGACTTTTTCCAATGTTATAGTAGGTTGGACTTGATGTTTACAGAGTGGTGAGAACAGAGTGGAGCATGCAATTCTTTGGAGTATCTCTGCAAGGACCCCAGAGGATAATATGTGATTTCATCATGCCATGGAGTGAATGTGGATTCTAACCCCAATCAGGTTGTGTGTTTTGTCCCCTGTGTAGTCTGTACGAGAATGCTGGCAAGACCTTGCCTGCCCCCGACCTGACTTCATTTTACTCTCAAAATGCAGTACAGCGACTTGCTGGTGGCTAAACTGTCTGGGAGACACAGACTGACTACATCTTAGGCCGTGAGCACTTGTCATTCTGAAAAATAGAGACTTAGACATATTTGAACTATAAAGAAATAGCAAAAACAAACCAGATCTTTCTTATCTTTCATTGTGCATTTGAATGCAATTTATTTTCATTTTTGTATTTTAAGGGGAAACTGTTGGAGACCTGATGGTTAGAATAGAAATGAAGTATAAAGCATATTGCCTCCCACCCCAGAGCTGGCGGGATAAATGTCTTTTTCTTTAGCTCTGAAATTTGTAATCTCTACTCTCCTGGAATAAAATACAAGATAATGTCCATTCTGCTGCATTTTTCCACATTTTGTTCATCCTTGCAATGTAGAATTTTATAGAAAAATGAAAAAGGTTAATCTCTATCTAGTAATTTATTTTTCCCCCATTAAATGCTTTAAAAAGCTATTCTTATAGGTGATCTTATGTTTCTTTAAAAAATCTACATCCTTTTCTGGTCCTCTTAAAGCCAAACAATTCACTGGGCTTAATTCAGTCTCTTGGTTTCTCATTCTTCTCTCCATCTGGGCTCCAAATAATACCTCTGGATCCCTTGAAGCATTTCCATGTGAGAAGGGGTCAGTGAGTTGGAAATTACAGATCACCCCAAGATTTTACCTGCCCCATTTGATCTCTTGATATGGACTTTGATACCATGGGCAACACCTCTTTCCATCACCAAGTTTACAGAATTAAGGCTTGATTTTATTTAGAAAATATGTAATTTTCCTTACAGTCACCACCCTATCTCCGAATTAAACCAGCTCCCCAGATAATCCTCTGTCAGTTTTGAAAATGCAAGGATATCAGAGATGACTTAGAATCGAGTTTTGAAAGGAAAAGGAGGCCATTCATTTAAAATAAAATAAAGCCAAATAGCAATTTAAGAGTGTGGGAAGGTAGTTGCTGTACCCTCTGCTCACCCCCTCAACCTCTTACAGGTGACACTACTAACCAGTCAACCTTAGCTTCAACCCAACAAAAATACTAATAGTTCCCTTAATGAATATTACTTCATGGCTCAGGATTTTGCCTAGAATTAACGTATTATTTGCAATGCTCTTCATCTGTCATTGAAAGCCTGGAAAAATTCTCCCTCTTTCAAGAATCATTTTTAGTGCAGTGTCTTTATTCTAATGTCTAATAATTATAATCATGTCTAGCATTTGTTGATTTTTAATGTATCACAGACAGTATGGTGATATCTTTGCATGATTATCTCATTTAAACCTACCACCACCATCACTATAAGATAGACAGTGTTCCCATTTTATAGATAATATATCCCAAAGGAAGTCAAGGGTAAAAACTACAGATCACCTAAGAGAGAACAGGGTAGCATTTCTTTTTGGAATTCCATTTAATCTGTTTACTTTTGAGTCTTCCAAACCATGACATTAGTATATTCTTTCACTTATTTAATTATCTTAATTTACTATTAATTATTTTAACTTCCTAGGTAGAAGTCTTATACATATTTTTCTAGATATGATTATAGGATTTTCTTGGATGTTATTATAAATCATACTTTGATTAAATGTCATATTTGATTTATTTATTGTTATATAGAGAAATGCAACTGAATTCTATATTTTGATGCTGTATCTAGCAAATTTACAGAAGGATTAAATAATTTGCCAAATGTATATAGCTAGAATATTTCAAGGCTGAGGTACAAACTGACATCTGTAGAACATCAGACATGGTGGCCTTAATTATCTTCTAAATAGCTTTGAAAATATTCATCTATCCATCACCTCCATCAAATGGAGTAAAACATTTTTTTGTCCCACTGGAGTCTTTCCCCTTGTATTTGAAATTCCATAACATTTTATTTGAAAATAATTGTTTATCATTTGTTCTTCTTATCTAGAGATTCCATTTATATTCTTCAGCAATTCTAGAGGCTGTATGTCTTAGGGCAGAAATACTGACATTATGGACTTGGTAACTCTTTGTTTTGGGGGCTTAATACTGTGCATTGCAATATATTTAGCAGCATCTCTCATCTCTATCCACTAGATGCCAATAGCAGCTGACCCCCTGTTGTGAGGTATTTTTTTTAAATGTCTCTAGACATTGCCAATTGTCCCCTGAAAGGCAAAACGGCTCCCAGTTGAGAACCACAGCCTTAGGGGAGCCAGCTCCACTTCTAGATCTATTGGTAAAACCAGTTCTTTAGGAATAAAATTGGTTAATCACCTTACCAGTGATTGTTTCAGGAAAGAACATGTGACCAAATTTGGGCCAATGGAACTGGAGTTGAGGTCTACTATGGTATTTGGGGAGCATTCTTTCCCCAAAAGAGCCTCTGAAAACTATCATCTCTCTCTCTCTCTCTGAATGTTGTTGGGTACAGGTGGGACTGGAACTGCTGCAACTGTCTTGCTGCCAGCCTGAGGATGAATATCATACAGAGTAGAGCATCCCAGGGGACACTCAGTGACATGGAGACAGAGCCACTGGATTGTCTTCCAAGTATGTGAGATAAAACTTTCCTGTTTAAATTGATTTGTGATGGGATTTCCTTCCTCACTCCCTAACTCCTTTCTTTCCTTTCTTGCCCCTTCCTTCCTTCATTCCTTCTTTCCTTTTCTTCCTTCCTTCTTTTTTCACTTAGGCCCTAATGTTTATTTTAAAAACTGAATTTATGATATACTCAAAATAATAGCACAATATTTATTCTGTCTCTTAAATGCAGCACCCCTTTGTCATTTCCTGTCACTTTTCCTATTTTCCTGCCTGCTCAAGCTCTACTGTTTTGAGTACCTAATTGTCAAACTCATCTTAACATATATGTTTAGATATACATGTGAACTTAAAACTGGTGTTATATGTATGTATTTGGTTCCCATGATAGGTATTGCATACGTATTTCCTGCTGTTTTCAACTTTCTTCCAGGATGGCATATATATGTCTAATTCCTTAACTGTATGGTATTCTACCACATGCGCATATTACATTTTTCTTGTTTTATAGTGAGGATTACCTGTGTTCTTATCCTACTTTTACCGTAAGCAATTATGAAATGTACCTCATTGCGCAGGTCTCACTGTGGAGCTGGGATATAAATGAGAGATAGTGACACTAGCTCATAGGGTATCACATATTTACTTACACTGAGTGCTGACCCATTGTTCTCAAGAATATATCCTTCAATTAAAAACTTCCACAGGACTACATTAGCATTCCTACTTCCTCATATTCTCAACACTTGGTCTCCTTTCGTGAAAGAAAATGAATTTTCTTTCATTTTTTCTAATACAATTTTTGTAAAGTAGTATCTAATAAGGATATTAATGAAGACAGGTACTTATCTATGATAGTACTTACTTCAGAGGATTGTGATGAGTGCTTTATAGATTAATATATGTAAAATTAATATATGTACTTTGTTCATAGGAACATAATCAATATGGTTTGACTCTGTCCCCTTACCCAAATCTCATCTCAAATTGTCATTCCTGTAATTGAGGGGGAGGGACCTGGTGGGAAGTGATTGGATCACAGGGACGATTTTCCCATGCTGTTCTCGTGATGGTGAGGCAGTTCTCAGGAGAGCTGATGGTTGGAAAAGTGTTTTGCAGTTCTCCCTTCACTTTCTGTCTCTCCTGCTGTCATGTAACACACGCCTTGCATCCCCTTCACCTTCTGCCATGATTGTAAGTTTCCTGAGGCCTCTCTAGCCATGTGGAACTGTGAGTCAATTAAACCTTTTTCTTTTATAAATCACCCAGTATCTTTATAGCATTGTGAAATGGACTAATCCAATAGTATTATTCATTACTATTATTATCAATATTTTCATCATTACATGTTTGTCATTTGGTCTCTTTCTGTGACTTCCTTGTTCATATGCTTTCCCTAAATTTCTATTGGGTTTTCTGTCATTTACTTATTTCCAGGCGGTGTTTTATATTACAGCTATCAATCACTTGTCTGTTTAAATGAAACAAATACCACCTTCAACTCTTGTCACATAATCAGTAACTTTGTCTATTATATAGTTCAGTAAAGAGAACTGTGCAATTTGAATTTGTGAAAATTTATCAGTTTTTCTCCTTGAAAGTAGTTTTTGGTGTATTCTTTAAAAATTTCTTTATTATTCCAAGATGACACAATTTTTTATATTTTTCTTAAGTTAACTTAGAGTTACACATTTTGGTTTCTAATCCATTTGGAGTTCAGTTGGGAAATAAAAGTAAAATTTTGTTTTTATGATTTTCAGTACAGCAAACCTATTTTTCCAACATCATTTCTTCAGAAACCCATTCTTTACCCCACTAATATGTGATGCCTGTTTTATACACTGGTGTCCTCTTTAGATATAGGCTTGATCCTAGGCTTTCTATTTTATTTTATTACCTATTGATTGATTCTTGGGTTCGTGGCACACAGTTTCTTTAACTCTACCTTAGTAAATAGATGTTTATATGTGATTTCTCTTTTCCCCTAAAGTGGGACTGCTAAAATTTCTGTTAAGATTCTCTGACTCGTAACAGCTACTTTATGCACTGCTCCTTCGTCTCACTGGTTGTACTAATAATGAATTTGCAAATGCAACAAAGGGGAAGTTGGCTTATCCTGGCCTCTTGATTTATTACTGTCTTTCCAATTCTCTCTTTCTTTCAAACATATGTTTTCCATATTTTATCCTGCCTTCTTAGTTGTTATTGGTGAGAAATTCAATCTGTAAATTGCTAGTCCAACATAGCCAGAAAATTGATTTTTAAAAAATACTGATCCTCTAATTAGCAATATTTCTAAACACACTTATTTATTTCATTATGTTTTCTATGTCATTGAGCATATATTTGTTTCTTTTGGGATCATCTGCAGAAGATTCTGGGATAGAGTTAAGAATTCAGCTGGGCCTGGTGGCTCACTCCTATAATCCCAGTACTTTGGGAGGCCGAGGTGGGCAGATCACCTGAGGTCAGGAGTTCAAGATCAGTCTGACCAACATGGAGAAACCCCACCTATACTAAAAATACAAAATTAGCTAGGCGTGGTGGCACATGCCTATAATTCCAGCTACTCGGGAGGCTGAGGCAGGAGAATTGCTTGAACCCAGAAGGCAGAGGTTATGGTGATCTCCAAGGTTGCCCCACTGCACTCCAGCTTGGGCAACAAGAACGTAACTCTGTCTCAAAAAAAAAAAAAAGTATTCAAGGTGTTTATTGGGGGAATCAACGTGTATGAAAGGAAAGAGGAGGTCTCAGCATAAGGGAAGGAGAGAAATTGAAACTGCTATGCAGATCCAACAGAGCCTCAGTCGTCTCAACAAGGAGTTCTAAAATGTGGACTCCTAATCAGAATTGCCCTCTCGTGGGTCAAAAGAGCCAGGCCTTTATGTACTGCTTTGTTCAATTACTTGTCATAGTTTCACTTTAAAGATGATGTTTACAGTTTTTTCACTAAATGTGATACTTGCTACAGGCCTGCATTGGATAATCTTTATCATGATAAGAAAATTACCACCTATTTCCAGTTTCCTAAAAGTTTATGAGTTGGGTTTTTTAAAAATAATAATAGCTTTTGAACTTGCTTTATGTGTATTGATTAGCATAATTGTGTGTTTTTCTCCTTTATCTTTTAATGGGGAAAATAATGTCTACCACATTTTCTGACTTGCATTCTTCAGACAAACCCCTCTTGATTATGATATATATGTGAACATTTATCCTCAGGTACTTAATATTTCATTTAGGATTTTGTCATTTATAGATATCTGTAAAATTGACTTTACTTTTGTTTTACTAGATTAATTTTTTTACTTGTTCAGGTTGCCTTCTTTATCTTTATTCTGGTAAAAACCTTCATTAAAAAAGGATTATTTTTGTAAATTTTATAGAGCTCAACCATAAAGTTATCTGGGTTTAAGTCTTTTGTAAATAAATGTTGTGATTTTCATTTAAATTCCATAAATGTTTATAGGTCTATTCATATTTTCTTTAAATATTATTTCATATTTATTCTAGAAGTTTGTTTATATTCTATTTTTCAAATAAATCATGGTGTTATTCAAACTTTATAGATATTTCTATATATACATTTTAGTACTCTAAATACTTATTTGTATCAACTTTTTGTTTCCTTTAAGTCTTGCAAAAATTTTTCTATCACATTAATCTTCTAAAGGACCAGTTTCTTAATTTATTAATCATCTTTGTGAGATATTTCGTATTTCTTTTTTTAAAATATTAAAGTTAATACCCTTAACTTTAATATTTTTTCCTTCCTTTGCTATCTTTCTAGTTTAGTACAAAGCTTAGATCATTTGCTTTTTCAGTATTTTGCTGCTATTGTTGTTTGCCACTTTTCTAATGTATGAATTCAAACCAATAGCCAATAACTACTTTAGCTTTATTCTGAAAAGTTTGACATTTAGCGTTTTAACTGTCATTCAGCCCTATGTATTTTTTATTTCAATTTTCTTTCTTAAAGTGTTACTTGGTATGAAGGCTTTTTGATTTCAAGATATAGAAATTTTTGTTATGCTTTTGTTATAATTTAAAATTTTATAGCATTGAATTAAGGAATGTGTTCTTTATGTTGCTCATTTCTGAAAATTTAGGCTTACATATTTTTCTTTTTTAAAAAAATTATGGTAAAATATATATAGCATGAAATTTATCATGTAACCATTTTTAACAGTGCAGTTCAAGAGCATTGAATACATTCACATTGTTGTGAAAGCATCACCATTATCTATTTCCAGAATTTTTTTACCATTTTATACTGAAACTGTATCCATTAAACAATAACTTCCCATTTTTCCCCTCCTTATGCCCCTGATGATAACTCTACTTTCTGTCCCTGTGAATTTGACTAATGTAGGTACCTTATAAAAGCAGAATCACATATTTCTTCTTTTGTGTCTGACATTTCATTTACCATAATGGCTTCACATTTCATCCATGTCATAGCATGTAACAGAATCTCCTTGTTTAGGGTATATATATCTACTGCATATATATACATCATATTTTGATTATTGATTATGGACATTTGGGTCTTGTCTATTTTTGCTGTTTGTTGCAGCAATTGTACCATTTTACTTTCCTGCCAGCAATGTGCAGGGTTTTCATTTTTTCTGCATCCGTGCCAACACTTGTTATTTTCTGTTCCCTTAGTAGCCATAATGGTTGTGAAGTGGTATCTCACAACACAGTTGTTTCAATTTGCATTTTCCTAAATACCTGTGATGTTGAGCATATTGATATTTTATATGTGCTTATTGGCTATCTGTGTACCTTCTCTGGATAAATGTTTCTTTAGGTCTTTTGCCTATTTATGAATTGGGTTGTTTATTTTGTTGTTGTTGAGTTTTCGGAGTTCTATATATATTCTGCCTTGCCAGATGTGTGATGCAAATATTTCCTCCCATTCTGTGGGTTGCATTTTTACTTTGTTGATGCAAAAAAAAAATCTAGATTTTGACGAAGTCTGATTTGTTTATTTTTCCTTTGGTTGC